TACTTGAATTGCAAAGTATATCAGTCGGAAGGGAGAATTACTTATAATAATAATAATAATTATAACATAACCAAAGTAAAGTGCACGCTCTGATTGGTCAATTTAGCGTCCCCCATTTGCCCATGGGTGTACGCTGCTGACGTGAGCAAATGCAGAGACTATTTTTCGGCGCGCGCGCCTGTTTTTTCTGGTCACGTAAGATTTGTTAAATAAAAGGGAACTCTTTAGCTACAATGCATCAATGTTATGTTATGAAACAAATGGTAAACACCACAGCGTACACGATTGAGTTATGGATTCATGCGGGAGGTTTGCTAAGCACTCAAGAAGCTAGAGTTGCTCTCGGCTATCGCCTTGAGCGATTCTTACGCTGCTTTCGCACTTAGCAACCTCCCGCATGCATCCATAACTCAATAGTGTTCGCTGTGGTGTTAACCATTTGTTAATAATAATAATAATAGTAAAGGTTTATTCAGAGTATATCCACACAAAAGGTGTGGCTCTTCATCTGTGAAGGCCTATGATACTAATATTTGATATTAAAACCAGTGGTGTATCCAGGAGGAGAGTCCAGGGTGTCTGGACCCCCCCCTATCAAACCTGATGCTTACAACTTTGAGACAGGATCGTATATCACTTTTAACTGGCTGATTTTTTTAATTAATCCAAATAAACGGTAAGCAGCCAAGGAATAATAACGTGCAACCGCGACTGGTGGAAGGGGTGTGGGGGAGAAGTAATTTGCCTCAAAGAGTCTAACAGTCCTTTCTGAACCAAATTTTGGGCCCCTCCAGTCAAAAATTCCTGGATCCGCCTCTGAAAACTAAATTATAATGACTAACTAAATTGTAATAAAAACTATACATGAAAGTAAATATGTAGAATATATTGGTTGGTGGTGGTGGTTGTTTCTTATCTTTACAACGAAGACAAAGTGCGCACCTTTAAGAACGCCTTGCAGAGCCTGTAGTATTCTTTAAAATCTGTGCAATTCCTCAAATTATTATTTGCTGGCAATTCCTTAAAAATCATGGCTGCTGAATGCTGAAAGGTGCCTTGTACAAATGGAACATAAAGTCTTGGAGCAACACTGGAACGGAGATGCCTGACGGGTTTAGCGACTTGCAAATTTAAATGGGAGGGCCAGTTATCAGAATACAGTGCTTTAAAAAATAATAGTCTTTACATATAATAACTTGATGATGCCATTATTAATAGCAAGGATTAAGACTGCACTTATTTCAGTGACTTTATGGTTTGATTTTATGTCTTTTGTTTCAAGGTTGAAGAACTTATCAAGAAACACAAGGATGAGCTTTTGAAGAAACGTTATAAATTTAATGTTGGAATGATAATGGGTGAGTCTAGGATGATACTTTCTTCTTTCACACCACCGAATGAGCCTGTCTCTCCTGTAAGGTCCATCTCAAAAATTAGGTCCCCTCTTCCAAACAGTCCCTCCCTAGAAAGCCTCTCTCAAGTAAGCCCCTCTCTAATTAGGCCCTTTCTAATAAAGGCCCTCTCTAACATGCCCCTTGTCTGGAAGCCTCGAAGTTGAAAAACCCCCTGGTGGGCTTATTAAATGGATACTTTTGTCTATATTAGTAATGATATATGACCCTTTTTTACTTTGTGGGAAATTTTAGGAAAGGCTAGAGAGAAGCTAAAGTGGGCAGATGGAAAAGCTGTGAAAGCAGAAATTGATATGCAGGTTAGTGGTACAATAGCATACCCTAAATCAGTCTTACAGTATGTTTGTGATTCCATTTGTCCAACAGTTTTAAGTTTATCAGTTAATTTTGCCAGTATACCATTGAACACACTAGGTCAGAGGAAGGCTTTACTGCCGGCAGGAATAAGTTGGTTTGGACTAAGGAAAATGTCCTATATTAGGCAAAGGATCCATGAGTAATGTCACAAATAAAGACTACCATGTTATAAGCATTATTTTGTTAGAAGAATAATTATGGGAAACGAGCTCCAAAATTTACAAAACAGGAAAATATTGCTGTTTGAATGTTAGGGACTTTTCTGTTGGACAGTTTGACGTCTCACAGGTACAACTATTAATATTTAACAAAAGCTGTTGTTGTTTGCTGGTATTTTAGTTGATAGGTTTCTTTCCTCTTATGACTTTTCTGCTTGAAATTACAAGAACGTACATTGATGTTGATTGGTATCTTTTATTTTTTCCAGATCTTAGACTTGCTTGGACCTAAAACTGAAGCAGACATGCAGGCTTCCAAAACAAAGGTGAAATAGCTTGAGACTTATTTTTAGAGCCTTGCATTTTAATTTTCCATCTTAATGCTGAGGACATGACTATAGGAATCAAGCTTACTTAACCCTTTACACCATTGCATCAGCATGCATATTCTCCATACTGTGCTCTATACATTACCCAAGGTGCTGACTAGAAGAATTTTCAATAAGATCATGAGAAAAAAAGGAAGTGATTGCCAACTAAAGATCTGAAGCTTCTTGTTGTTAATAACTTGCTTAGGAAATATATATATCTTATTAACCAAGCTTGCTCGGGACTGTACTGGAAGAATATCAGCCCTCGGTCTTTTTTGTACAGACCTCGCTGCGCTTGGTCTGTACTGTCAAGACCTTGGGCCGATATTCTCCCAGTGCTGCCCTAGCACTTGGTTAATAAGATATATATCCAGCGTTTAACTCCCAAGATCTGAGTACTAATTCTCCCTTATAGTTGCTTCACGTTTCCGTGTAAATTAGTAGCAATAAATTTGGTTTTAAATCACGATAAAAACTTCTCAAGGCTGTGCTCTAAGATTCCTGAGTCACCCAAGAGCAAAAGTAAGGTACTAGGGGCCAGTCTCGGCGCTGCTAGACCACAGCCTTGCTTCTACCTGATAAGTTTGAGCATTCTCATTTATTTACCAGTTTTCTGGATGATGTATGGATATTATTGGGAGAAGTTACATGTTAATCACTTTGGAGAGGTAAAGGGTTAAGTGTTGACAAAATGTATGGTGCTATCCACCAGATAAAGATTAATCCAGCAAATAGTGTTAACCATCCTTCGAACAACTGGGGCCAGGTAAATATAGAGAAGAAGGGAAAATAACAATCAGGGAATATTGTTTGATTTCATGCCAAATTTTCTAAGCAAAATTGGTACTTTGATCCTGGGAGTATAGGTTAAAGATAATTATCAACCTGCTTACAGTTACATTGTGCTTGTAAGCAAATAGAAGTAATTTTCTTTTATTTAAATGATAAGTTATTTATTGTCTGCACTCTTTCAGGATATGAGGAAGGGGAAAATAGATGAAGGAGCGGTAAGGGTTTTTTTAATTCAAAATCCTATCATTGGCCTTAGCTTTTTCTTCTTTTTTCTTACTGTAGAACCTAACCTACCACATGACTTGAAAATAATCCCTCAAGTATGGTTAGAGAGTGGATAAACAGTGTAACTGTCTTCTTGGAAACAACATTCTGCCCTTGTTTATTTGTATCCGTGCTATTTTGTGACACATGGAGATTGCTTCAATTCCCTGAATTTTTAAGAGATAGAATTAACATGTAGTTGAACAAACATGCTAATTTAATGATGAAAAATTCTTGAACTCATTTAATGCAAACTATAATAATTGTGCTTTGTCAGTGTCTTGCTATAATCATCTGTGTGCCCCAGTCATGACATTAAGAAAATAATTGAACTGCTGACCACTGGCAAATCATGATATTTGTCCAACTTTATCCAATAATTATTGTTAACTGTTGGTGATTTTATAATTTTGATACATGGTACTTTTTATTTTTGTATACTTAAGGCAACATTGAGAATGAGGACCACACTTGAGGATGGAAAAATGGACCCTGTTGCTTATCGAATAAAGTTTACCCCACATCATAGAACTGGAGATGAATGGTACAAAGTCATATTCATGCAGTGATTAATTTTGTCTTTTTAGTATTTACCTTTCTTCAATAGAAAAATCAATGTTATGGTCAGGTCATAAAGTTTATTTCCTTGTCATCGTGACTGCATGTAGTCTCTGACAACTGACTGAATTAGTGATAAATTCCTACCTGCTTTTCTGTGGCAGTTTTTTAAAAATTATATTTAATATTTAATATTTAGTTCTTATTAACCGAGTGGGAGGTCTGTATGGGAGAATCTTGACCGAGGTCACCTGTACAGAGCGAATGCAGTGAGGTCTGTACATGTACCAGCGACGGAGGTCAAGATTCTCCCATACAGACCGACCTAGCTCAGTTATTAAGATGTTTATTATATGGCTGTGTCTTATATGCCAATTTTTTATATTCTTTGTACCTTTTTTTTCTAGACCGGTCTAGATGCTGGTCTAGATGGGAAAATCTAGACCGCTTTCAATATTGATTTCGGCCAATCAAATTCGTGAATTTGGTAGTTCGCAGTTCTTGTGAGACACAGCCATATAATTATAATGAATCATATTATTTCTTTCAGGTGTATTTATCCAACATATGACTTCACCCACTGTCTTTGTGATTCTGTAGAGGATATCTCACATTCGCTCTGCACCAAAGAATTTCAGTCACGGTAGGCACAGTAAAGATTGTGTGACTGTAGCCAGTCCGGTCCCCACACGGTTACTTTTCGTGCCTTTTTAGTCACGTGACCAGTGCGTTTTTGGACTAGAGTAGTCGTAAGTTCGACACAAGTTTCGGTAGATTCACGCTCGTTTAGCGTGCTTTCTTTGTCTTGCTACCGCGATCCTTAAGGCTGGACAAGGTAACAGTGTATATGTTTTATGTCTTAAGTTCGTTAAGTGTTTGTTTTGAGGTTTATTTCCAATTTATTTCATGTGTTTTTGTGTAGCGTCGCTCGACAGATGTTCGCATCAAGTCTTAAGTGTAATTTTTTGCATTTGTTTTTAAATTAGTTTTACGTCTTCAGTTGAAGTCAGTAAAGAACTACCAGCCTTAGCTATGTTGTTTCGTTTAATGTATGTATAGTTACAGATTGGCATTAAATTGGACAATGGATCCTGCTTTCTATTGGTTTAGCAGCGTAATTACCTAGATGGGTAGTGGGGGGAACATGAAAAAAGTTTGTGAATCACAAGCCAGAGGTGAGTGGTTTACAAACTTTTCTTGCATTTTCTTGACCTCCTGCTTAGGTTATTACACTCAGTGTGGTAAACCAATACAAGGGTGGTGTTATATTGAATTCACCATGGGAGAGTAAACTTAGAATCAGTTTTTTATGGGTCTGCCAGTGTAATAAAACCTGATCTGGGCACTGGTACTGTTAGTTAGTATCTCAATTTTTCCATACAAAACCTTGAGTCTTCCTTGCTCATGTCCAAAAAAAAAAAAAAATTTATTCAGGTTTCATCGTACAGTCCTGCAAAAGTTGAAGCTGATCTTTCCTTTGTGGATGGCTTTAAAGTTTGCACCCACATTTACTGTGTCACATCAGGCACAACTTATGAATATTTGTTTCTTTCTGTTTGACAGGCGTTCATCTTATTACTGGTTGTGTAATGCTCTTGATATCTACTGCCCAGTGCAGTGGGAGTATGGTAGATTGAACTTGAGTTACACTGTGGTTTCCAAGAGAAAAATTGCTAAACTGATCTCCTCTGGCATTGTTAGGTAGGTGAAAGGGCAGAGAAGTTGTGTGCTGGTGTGCTATGGTGGTAGAACTCTACTGAGACAGGGCTCGACACTAACGGTAGTCCACTAGCCACAGACTAGTAGAATTCAGTTTGTCTAGCGGTTTTCAATTTCCACTAGCCAGTTTGGCTAGTAAACAGACTGAAATTGTCCTAACACCTAAAAACATCTAAGATGTCGCTAGCCACTTGGCTAGTAAGTTGAAAAGTTTGTGTCGAGCCCTGCTGAAAGAAATACTTTTTGGCCACATCTTAGGAGCTTTTGAGAATTGGCTTCTAGATCATTAGATAAATTCTCTCAACCCTTTCATTCCCAAGATCTTATTGAGTTGGTGATTCTCCTTATTGTCCAGCCTACAGTTCTTATGATTTTAGTTTGGAGAATTTTGTATCGGATTAACCTAAAATTCCCCAATTCCCCGTTTCAAAATGAGTGGGGGAGTGGGTCGAGTTTGTCTGGGATTGTTACTCGGGACACAAATCTATAGTAAACAAAGATTTGTGTCCCAAGTAACGATCCCAGACAAACTTGTGCGGCAAACTCGACCCACTCCTCCACTCATTTTTGAAATGGAGAATTGATATTTTTCTTTATTCTCATCACTTGTCTGCCTGGTATTGTATTGATGTTGTAAGGAGAAACTCAATCTTGGTCACTTGTGAGGATTGAGGAGTTAATCCAAGATCTGAACATTAGTTCTTATCTTTTATTGTTAGACATTTTTTGTGTCTTTCATTACCATAAAAAAAAAATCTGGGTAAAAGTGATGATGATTCCTTTGTTTTCTTTTCAGTATTAAATAAATCAATTATTTCTTTCATTCCCAATTGTAGATGAGAGAATTTGGTTTTTAATCAAACAACAGTTTCTAGTTGTTATTTCCTCAAACTTATTATTACCTTTCTGCTCAAAAATGCGCAAGGAAAAACCTCTTATAGATCACTCATGGTAGTGAAGGGCAAATTTCTGTCTTTTTCAGGGATTGGGATGATCCAAGATTGTTTACTCTCACAGCTCTCAGACGGAGAGGATTTCCTCCCGGGGCTATCAATAAATTCTGTGGCAAGGTAACTTAACTGCTCAATAACTTGTTAAGCTGCTGCTGAGATGACAAGAGGTGTTTTCTAAATTTCAGAGTGTCTTGTTATTTCCAGTGTAAAATTTCATGGTAATTTGTCTTCAAGTCCTTAAATTAAGGTTATTAGTTGCAAAAGGCCTATTCTCTTTGGTTTAGATAGCCTCAAAGAGTCTTCTATCATGATTAATAATTGTGGTAAATACGGCTATTACTTTTGGTTGAACTCATTAATAGTCATGTCTGACATGCTTTAGAGTGACTTAAAAGTCTTACACTGAACAGGTAATAATTGGTTTAATAATCACAAATGTCCTGACCGTGACTGCTTTTGAGATCAAAGTCTTAAGTTTTCTTCAGTGCCTTCTACACATTTCCTACAAAGTTAGCTTGAAGAAGTTGGTGTCCATTCGGAAAAAATCCTCCAGCTGATATTTTTCTTTCTACTCTCACTTCCCTGCTTGACAATTGTGTTGATAGGGTGTAGACAAATTTTAAATTGGTCTCTCTTGGGAGTTAGAGGGTCAAACATTGTTGAATCTTTTTGTTTTAGGTTGGTGTGACAATGGCACAGACAGTCACAGATCCATTACTCCTTGAGTCATGCGTGCGAGATGAACTGAATGTTACTGCACCCAGGTAGTCATAGCAACTGTTACAATGTATCTTTAATTTATTCAGTGTTCATGTAATGTTAAATTTAATACAACCATGGAAATTCGCAGGTACTGGTGATGCATTTTTACTGAATGGAGATTATCAACCCTTTCGACTCTAACATCAGTATGGATATTCTCCATACTGTTCTCTATGCATTAATTTCTTTTGTTGTGTGAATAAACCATTTCTATTATCACTGCTATTATCACAGCATTCATTTACTGAAGGTTATGGCCGTTGAGTTTTGATTTCAGGGATATATTAATGTTATTACCGTATTATAGAATTGTTTAATAGGTAAAAGTGATGGAAGTTCTTAAGTTTTCTCAAACTTTCAGGGTCATGGCTGTTCTTGAACCACTCAAGGTGACAATTCAGAATGTGGACAAGGTAATTGTAAGATTTGACTTATTTTATGAATTCATCTGTTAAAACCATGATAACCAGAAATTCGTCATTGATATTCATTGTGACACCATTGTAACATTCTAGAATGAAAATACAGTGTTTGCAGTTTCAAATACAGTAGCTTTACAATAATTTTTTTCATAGTAAGCATTTAACGTTCAACTTCAACTTGGGACAATAAATATTTTGAATAATATATGAAAAACAATAGGCGAAATAAAAACAATTAAATAATTTGGTTGTTGTATTTTTTTTTAGCAAGTCAAGCTCAGTGTTCCCAATTTCCCCCAAGATCCAAGCAAAGGAAACCATGAAATTTCATTTGGAAAAACGATTTTCATTGAGCAGACAGACTTCAAAGAGGTAGGTTAGATGATTTCCAAAGGCAATCATGGTGTCATGTCACTCCCTTACATCCTTCTAGCATCAGCATACATATTCTCTGTACGGTTCCCCATATATTTCTTAAGGTGCTGACAAGGAGAATTTCTTTAACAATCAAGAGTTTCTTTAAAGTTGGTGATCCTTTCCTTTATTCTTGTTTCCCTGACCCTTTAACACCTGGAAGTGATTAACATGTACATAAGTTCTCCCTATAATTTCTTCCCATAATCTTCCAAATGGGTAATGAGAGTACTTTAACTTATCAGTGGAACTTGTTACCTTGATCTAACACCAAATTCTCATAACCCATCAACAAAAAAATATGGAGCAGCTTAAGAGGGGAGAATTAGCAATCGGCTCTTGGAATTTAAAGGTTTAATGTTTGATTCAGGGGTGACATTGTAAGGAGAAATTAGATGCTGGTCACTTGCAGGGATTAAAGGGTTAAGTAAATATGCTGAGATGCAGTGTTATTTCAAATTCATCCTTTTTTTTAAGATGCATTCTTTGATTTAGTTTGTTGATTTGTGACACTTTCCTTTGTGTTCCTTTTTGCTGACTGGTTTAGTAAAATGTTTTGTTAGTCCTTGTAACAGTGGCTGGTAGCAAAGTTATGGTGGATACCTTATTTCTCCAAAATTTTTCACCTGTCAAAACTTTTGCTTCAGATGTCAGAGAAAGGTTTCCGCCGCCTTACTCCTGATCAGTCTGTTGGCCTCAAGTATGCTGGTATGGTGATAACACTTCATAAAGTTGTCAAGGTAAGGCCTGTTCACCTTTGTACATATTGTGTTACTATTTCTTCTTGGAGTGAGGTTCTTTGAGTTTTATTCAATAGTGCCTCATTAATTGCAAATCTGTTATCTTTGCAAGCTGTTTTATACCTACTTTTGATCAATGTCTATGGTACGCCAATGCTGTGCCTTTAAGTTAGCATTTATTTCTTTGTGTTCATGCTTTTGACTTTTCTGATTTCAAGCGCAAGATTCTACAGTATGACTCTTTCTCATAGTTAAATTTTAGAATGTTACAATTTTACATTTTACATTTTACATTTTAGTAGTATTTAGAATTATACTTGTAACTCGAAGATACTAGCTTATTCTTTAGCTACTCCAAATTCGAGATTAAATAAAGTATATGTATGTATGTATGTATGTATGTATGTTTGTATGTATGTGGATAACATGATTTATGATCATGTGTACTCTTTCAATCCAAAGTTTTATTTGGCAATTCTCCCCATTGTCTGGCTCACATTTTGTGTTATTTTAGCATGAAGAATTTGGTGTTTAATCAGACACTCTTACAGAGCTGTGATTTTACCTCTACCTGCTAACTGCCTTCTTGAAATTGTTTTCAAATTGATAGTATTTATAAAGAGTTAACTCTTTTTTAACTCTTGTTCTCCATTTGCTGTGTCAGGATTCCAGTGGAAAAGTGACAGAGTTGGTAGTGAACTGTGAGTCAACAGAAACTGCACCAAAACCAAAGGCTTTCATTCATTGGGTGTCTTCACCTCTGAAATGTGAAGTCAGACTTTATGAAAGACTGTAAGTATTTTGAACTTTTATGGTCCATCTGTAGAGACCTTGGCCTCTCAGAGAGGATCATTTGAAGACCTTTTCATATGAGACATTTCAAACAGTGCAGGCAAATTTCAAATGCAGTGGCTGGTGAAAAAGACACCCCATTTACATGCTGCCTTTTTTCGGTGTAATCAACCAACCACATAGTAGTAACAGATTCCAGGACTTAAAATACAGCACTACAGGCTGTAACTGTTTTGGTTGTCATAGCAAGATTTTGAAAAAGGGCTTGGAGACTAAACTTGTTGCCAATCTGGTGACCTGCTGCTGTGTTCAGCAGTTTTGTGGCAGGTTCTGTGACTAAATAATAATTTTATGGTCAGAAGTCTTAGTGATGCAAACTTTGCATAAAATGTTATCTTAGTGTTACTAGTGACAAAAGGTCTTTTTTTTTTTTAATTCCTGTTGACCTTTTCATGACTTCAGATGGCCAAACTGTGACTGAAGAAATTGAGCTTGGAGCCCTGAATTTATCCTAGTCGTACTTGACTGAATGAAACCGTGCAATTATAAATTAACAATTTTTTGATAATTGCATTGATGCAGATTCAAACACAAGAATCCAGAGGACCCAGCAGAAGTACCGGGTGGTTTTATAACAGATTGCAACAAGGTACCAATTCTTACTTTTTTTTTTTTTTTACCCTGTACACCCAAACACCAGTATGTATATTCTCCATAGTACTTTCTATACACATTCCTTTGGTGCTGACAAGGAGAATTTGTTAGACAATCAAGAGCACCTTTAGTTAGTGATCATTTTCTTTATTCTCATGACCTTAATGTGTGTTTTAGTGTGATATTGTAAGGAGAAATTAGATACTAGTCTCTCTTTGCATGTGTTCAAAGGTTGCACAGAGAAAGTCCAAAGTGAGTTTTGATAGCCTTCTAGGATCTCATTTCAAATTTTCTTGTATTTCCTTGTGAAACATGAAGAGAATTTGATGTTTCATCAAAAGCAGTTTTGGCTCCCTCTCATCATGTGCACCCCTTTGAGTTCAGCAAGGTCTACTGTTCTTCCCCTCCCCTCCTCCCCTCTCCTTCCCTTGTGCCCCCCCCACAAACACCTCCCCCTCCTTACTAATACATCTATATGCTTTATATGTTTTTCTTATAGGACTCTCTTACAGTAATCCCTGAAGCTCTTGTAGAACAAACAGTCAAACAAGCTGCTGTCTATGACAAATTCCAGTTTGAAAGGATTGGTTTCTTTAGTGTTGACCCAGACAGCTGTAAAAGCAAGGTGAGTACCTTACTTTCATTGTGTACAGTTATTGCAGCCTTTGATTTGCTGTTAACAATTAAGTAAAACACTTTATTAGGTGTTAATTTTTAATGTGTAGTATCATTGAGTACTTTCAGGAGTTGTGCTTTGTTTTGATGAGCCTTTAGTCCAGGCAAGTCAAAATACAAACAACCACTATGGCAGAATATTGTCCTATCCTTTACCCATCAGAGCTTGAGAATTGATTTAATCAACAGCTTACTGCAAACATTGATTTTACCAGGTGATGCAACAGTTTTTTTATGTCTCATATTTCAGCTGGTGTTCAACCGAACTATCTCTTTGAAAGAAGATCCTGGCAAACTGTAGTTGGATAACAGAATATGTTTCTATCAATAACACAAATCAAATCGTGTTGGATTGCTCTACATACTTAACAATATTTTGACAAGACTCTCTAGTGACCGGTACCCAACCATACTGATTCAAATTCCCGTACAGCACACTACTTTTAATGTAATGCATGTCTCAGGCAGACTACTTGGTTTTGGACTTTTGGAGCTAGGATAAAATGGGAAAGTGAAATAATCCAAATTCCTGTATGTCAAAGATGAGAAATTCTGAGTGTGTACTCTGGGTTAGATTGAAATATTTCCTTCACTTCCAGAGGAATTTCTTTAACATAGCTTGTTTAAGAGATGGATCGTGTTTTTTACCAAGTTGACATAAACATGAGAGAAGTCTGTAAGGCTTGCGTATCTGGCCTGTAATGCACAAACTTTTCCCAGCACCCCAAGTAAGTTATTAAAAAACTGATGTTCTAGTCATTATGCTTGTAGTATCCCAGTTATTTTATTAAAAGTCTTGACATAAAAAAAAAAAAGATAAATTATGTCTTTGTGCCAGTAAATGCTTAAGCAACTTAATATAATCTACTTTTTATCATCTGTGGCCTCCTTGTGGACTTCTCAACTGTTAAATGCCAAATGTGACTTTGTCACACCTTTGACATAATATATCAGTTTTTCTGTTTCATGTTGTCCCAAAGAAATGCCTTGCTCTGTGAGTTTTTTCAGTAATACAAATGTAATATTACTATTTATCATTTTTTCTTTTATTAAAATACCTATACCTAGGAGTTTTTTGCTTTCTGAAGCAAATGATAAAGATTGTTCTCACGAATCTTTTTATACATTTGGATGGTGAAGTACACGTAAGCAGCCTGGGGCCTGTTCCTCAAAAATCTCGATAACTTAATGGCCCCGAAGTCTTGTTTTAAAATCAAAATTAAAATGATAGAAAAGCAGGTTCTTGCATGCAAACCAGTCCATTTGGTCTTTTTCTATGGGCCCCTTAAGTTAGTGGGACTTTTGAGAAACAGGCCCTAGGTGACTTTTGTTAGGTTTCCCACTAATCATTAAAATTAAAACTACTCTTAAAAATTTGCTGAACATCGTACCAGTGAGAAATACCTGGCAGGTTGTTTTACAGGATTTGCTAAGTTCTTGATACAAGAAGCAATTGTGCTGTATTTTGAATTGGAGTAGGTTATGCAAGCCACTGTTAGTGCCAGACTGTAGTTTGCATTTGTTGCCCTCTCAACTTGGCGTGATGTTTCAAAATGTACTTGTTTTCACAAGGCTTCCTGTTTATATCAGACGAGTGTAATTCTTTTGGGTAGAAACTGGCAAAATTTACCTTCTGTAGTGCCCAAGTAATACCCAAAATCCCTTTGAATTTTTGAAAATTCAAAAGGTAGGTGGTTTGCAACCAATCTCTAAAGACACAGGTAACAATGGTGAAAGGGACAAAAGTAGCTTTACGAGATATCTATTGTTTTTGTCCATCAATATGGCGGAAATGACGTAGCGTGCAAACCACCTACAGGTTAAAGGATTGCTTACCAGTTCAAAAATGTCTTACTCGCATTGGGCTTAAAATACATACAAAATACAAAGAAGAGTACTGTCTGTGCATGCATGTGTCAAGAAACCACCCCTAACTTTCCCTCTACTGGCTATTATGTGTACCAAACTGGTGTAAAACTTTTGATTTATGAAACTGCAAATATTACAAACAATTCCACACATTCTTGGTGTTGTACAGCTAAAAATCCTTCATAGGTTGTACAAAAGTTCCGAAGGACCTAAATCGCTCGAAGAAGACTTGCCTTGGAAAAAAATTTAAAATCTTTCAGAATATTCCGCACCTTGACGGAAAATTTACCTGGTTGCCATGAAGTCAATGAAATACAGCTTAAGTTACAAATAACTAAATTAGCACTAGCGTTTTAAATTTGTAATAACGACCGAAGAAAATCTTGTTATTGACATCACACTGAGTATTTTACAGAAATATCTTCGTTATCCAAGGCAAAGATCAAAGCATTAGCTCTGTCAGAAATCTAATTCCAGAACAAAAACTTTCGAGCAAACATGTTTGATCAAAAACTTAACATATTTTTCAGTCAGAGTACAGAATTCCATTTTGACGGTAAAAAGTGTCCTTTATGACTCGTGTACGACCGCACGATGGGTTTTTGGTTTTCATGCAGTCGTCAAGTTTCCAACCGATCTCCCAAGCACTTGTGATGGGGAATTCGTATTTAACCTCAGGAGGCTTTAGTTTTCTCTGCTGTAAATATGCATAACGACCACCACCAAGCGCACTGAAACCGTCGTACAACAATTCCCTCGTCTTGCCCGAAACCGGACGCATTTCAACAAGAAGAGACTTTGGATCGGTCTTGGCCTTCTCTTCCAGCTGTTTTTTAGCGGTACTCTCTTCCTGCTTCTTTTCTTTTTCTTCCATTTCTTGCTTCAATCCTTGTAAAGCGTTGATTTTAAGCCCTTCTTTTCGAGGTTTCGCAGCCATGGTGGCTGCATCGCGCGCAAATTCTTTGGAATATCTTGTATGCCAGTTCAAGCGAACATACGCTTCTTTGTCGATGGATTCCTTCCAAAAGTTTTGACGCTGCGTATCCATATTTAATTCCCGCACCATCTTGACAGATTTCCTGAGCTTTAGAGTTTGCAAAAGTCGCCTATAGTTTGTTTTTGGTTTGTTTGAAGTTTTGATGACAATGTCTGCAGCGCTATTTCGGAATGCTGCACTCCGTTGCTATGGACAACTGTTTACAAGACGTCTGGTTCCTTTGAAGACACTCTGTGTTGAATCTCACAACAAGAATAGCGAAAAATAGTGTAAACCGCAGCTTTTCAGATTCTAAATGAGAAAAATAAAAGGTCGTTTCTGCCTAGAGCAGAAATCTTCTATTAAGAGACTGTTCTTGGGGAAAATATCGTGCGCAAAGTAGCTGAAAAATATTATTTTTGTTTGTTCGTTTGCGTTATTTTTCTAACGCGTAGTAAGCCCTACGTAGTAAGCACTTTTTATAAACAGAAAATAACGCAAAGGAAACTTGAATTACTTCAAGTTCACCTACCTAACACTGCCTCAAGTTAAAAAATTTTACGGAATCGGAGAGCAGTTAGACAACTAGGTTTGTGATCGATCGACTCGTATTGTCCCGCACCTGCGGGTGTAATCCCGTGCGTGATGTTCTTTTGTGACCTCTGACGTCATGAGGTAAATACTACGGCAGCCATAGCTACATGCCGCATTCTTCATTTGCAGGAGAACTTTTTTTCTTTGCGAAGATATTTGCTATCGAATGTGTCAGAGAGGAAGCATGGGTTTCACCGATCATTAACTGTTATGGCTAAAGTTGTTTAAAGATCAGTGTTCGAAAGGACACCTCAGAAATTGCCCTCAAAGTCTTTTATTGAGCTCAAAGTTATTCCGCAATCAGCCACGTATAAACTTGTGATTACTGCATCTTTTCAACTAAAAATGGGACTTCTCGATATGGAACTGATGTTTGATTTACTGGACACTGACATGAGAGGCTATCTGACCTCAAATCAGCTCCAAGATTTTCACGAATCGCTGTATTTCTCACCGATTGATCCTCGACAAATCGAAGCTGCCATAAGAACAATTTGTGGCAATGCTTCTCGCGGACTTTGTCCACGAGAAAAATTTATGGATGTTCTAGACGAGCTTGACCGGAGAAAAGGCCTCGAAGAAAAAATCTCTTGGGATTTTAAAGCACTCGATGTCGAAGGAAAAGGAAGAATTTCTCTAAAAACAGCGCTGTTGCTTTTCAAAGCTGTCCACAATGAATTGTTTTCAATGAAGACCTGGCGATCTTTTGTTTCTCATCGGGAATACCCAGATGAAGACGTTTGTTTCGATGAGATCAAGATGTTCTTGTGCAACTTGGTGGATGGTGGTCCTTGCGAGAAAGAAGAGTTTGACGAGGAGGAGAGGGATGTTGGTTTCCGGAGCGTTGAAAATAAATACAGAAATCTGAAGGAACTAGAAAAGTTTCAGGTATGGTCTGAAGTCAATAAGCTGTCTACCAACTATTTTGAACCCTTTAACTACCAGAAGTGATTAAAATGTAACTTCTCCCTTGAATGTAGATACATCATCCTGCCAGCATGTAAATTGAGAATACTTAAACTTTTCAGGCAGAAGTTGGTAGTCTTGATCTAACACAAAATTCTCATGACATATTTACAAGAAAGTGTGTAGCAGCTAGAGGGGAGAAGTAACAGTCAGATCTTGGGAGTTAAAGAGTTGAGACTTGATGTCTGTAGGATGTCCTGATTCAACTTGATCATCTGAGTTTTTGAAATGATTCTGGGGGTCTTACAGACGAGTGCATTAAACCTTACTTCCGAAGGTGTTGATCATCCAGACCCCTCCCCCCCAGCATTATTTGGGATGATTGGGCTGATATACATGTAGAAACCAGGCTTAACTCTTAACACACCAATATCAGCATGTATATTCTCCACACTGTGGTACTAAAGTGTGGTAGTACTAAAGTGAAAGCTATAGGTTGCCTGTTTGGTATTTGAGGCTCAGTTAGCTACTCAACCTTGCTTTGTAGAGATATCAGTATGTTTATATCACACAAAAAAACTTTCTTTGCAATTACCTGATAAGGGAACATACTTTCTAGCAGGGATCCGATTATTTCGAAGTGAGAATCCTAGCCAAGGAGGGTTGAAGTTCTTCCTATAAGCATTTATTGGGCTAGCCTCTACAGTGAGGTAGACAATTACTATAGGTTTACAAGTACGTGACATGTCTTGTTAAATTTGTTTTCAAGGAGGATGAGGCATCCCTTGCAGCTGAAGAGAGGGAAAAAATGCACCAGGCCAACAAACTGAAACAAGGAGCTGAACGGCGAACCAAACGACTGGATCATGAAGGTGTTGTGGCCCTATTGCACGAAGATGAAGAGTGGGACGAGAAAGGTGCAAAGAAAGCAAGACACAAAGTCACAGCTACTGATTTGATACAAGCTCTACGGACAAAGTAAGATTCTTAAGATCTGACCAAAAGTCGACCCTCTAACTCCCACAAGTGATTAACATGTAACTTCTTCCTACATTATCCATACATTATCCTACAGACATTGTTATGAGAATACTCAAACTTATCAGGTAGAAGTTGTTATCTTGATCTATCAACAAATTCTCTCAACTAATGTACAAGAAAGTGTGTAGCAGCTAGAGTTGAGAATTAACAATCAGATCTTGGGAAAGAAAGGATTAAAATATTCTTTAGGGTTGTCAAGAAGTTTGAAAGTGGAAGGCAAATACATGTAAGAATTATTAGGTGGCTAGGTTGTTTTGGAGGCCATGTTGTTTGGTCAGATTACTCGCAAGACTTGAACTATTCAGTTAAAATGTCAAAGGCATTATTTTCTTAAAAGTTGCACAAACTTTCCAGTGCATTCTGAATGTGGAATTGATTTTCACATCTATACCTGTATCAGGTAAATTATGCATTCAATTGTGGTCAAAACTAGGAAATGACTGCAGTAAGAAAGTTCTCTGATGGTATTTTTGCACTTATGGTAAAGTAAGGTAAAATTTACTAATGGACTAGCTGCCAGTTTTGGCCAGCTTATGTAGCTTTCTTTAATTTTATATACCTGTGTTTCTTGCAATTTTTTGTTATCATTCATTTATTTATCCATTATTTTATATTCCATTCTCTTATAATAACTTTAGTAACATTAACATCAACCCCAGATATTTTTCCCCCCGATAATGCAGAGGATCTGCAAAAGCTCCAAAACTTATTTTTGATTTTTACAGTAGCTAAGTCCTCACTGAAAACCACAGTATCATTTACACCGAACGTTTGTCTTTTTTATGGGAACTAACTCACTATCAAGGGTAACTAAATGTACCCTTCTATTGCCCAATCTCTTCCTGAAAAAAAAAAAATGCTATTAGGCCATCCAACAACATCATCCACTGGAACTCTAGTGATAAGCAAGCCCATAATTCTACATCTGTAGATACACAGCTGTCAAAAACTATTGATTTTAAACTTTACATTATGCGGATTGTTCCCCTACAGATATGAAATCTTGCGTGACAAACTTCTTTTGGAGATGCTCAGACATCACATTGGCGAGGGAATGTGGACAGTGTTATCTGAAGATGAGCAGTACGAACGTCTCATGCAGGTGAAAATGCGCGTTCAGCGTCTACGTAAGGACAGCAAGTTAGACGGCGCCAATTCCCTACCTGGTGCTGGGCTTACGTTCTTCTCAAATTTGCTTGCATTGATGGGTCTAAGTCGAATGGGAGATGAAATACAGCAGCGAGAAGAAGCTGAGAAAATCAAGGAAATGGAGAAGGAAGGTAAAGATCTTCGATAAGCACGTTTACCCCCTTGTAGTATTAGATGTTTCGCGTACAATCAACATTTGAACGTGCGATGTTAAGCCATAAAACTCCCAAAGGTCCCTGAAGTCGATAGCGAAACGACCTTCGATTTGTAGCGAAATGACTTCCATTTGTAGTGAAATAAGTGGTCACCCAAAGTCAGTAATTCTTCCAAATCGATGCATTTTTTTTTTATTAGCAGTCAGGTGACTAGAGTAGATTATAAAAACCTTTCAGCCAAGTGTTATCTTGATTTAAACCAAATCTTTGGAACTAATTTGCAAAGAAAAATATAGTATGAGAATTCATCTTCTCATTATGTTACTGATAGGTAAACGAAAAGAAGTGCACCATATGTGCGTATTCTCCACACCATTTTCTCTATGTTTCGTATGCTAATGGCAAGGAGAATATGTGTGACAATCAAGAACTTCAGACGTGGTTTGATGCTATTCTGGTTTAAGGAGTTTAATGAATATAACCGGGGAATTACAATTCTCCGATCCAACGCTTCAACACTCCTGTCTAATGCCTTCATCAGGGGTGTCGAAACTTTGGGTCAATGGATTGCAATTCCCCGTTTACATTCTTCATTAAATCCTCAAACCAGAGTAGCATCAAACCATGTCTGATTGCCCACTTTGTTGCTTTGTGAACTTTAACAAATCGAGAACTTCTTAAACTGGTGATCTTTTCCTTTTATCTTACGACATTCATGTTTGAGTCGGAGGGAATAGGTAAAAGGGTTACTTTTCTCACTGTTGTTGCTGTCACAGGAAAAAGCAACAAGGAGATAGAAGAAGAACTGCTCAAGTCTCGTGAAAAAGCCTTACAAGGGCACGCCAAGAGCGAGCAACTTCTGTTGGACCTGGAGAAGCGCTATCAACAGGATAAAGACGCGATAACTGCTAAATTAAAAGGCGCTGGTACAAATACAATGACAGCAGAGCAGAAGCTGACAGAGTATGGACTTATTATAAGAGAACAGTTACGTGCTCGAGAAGAAGGGAAGTTTGAGAGTGCTAGTTTAGCCGTGGGAATCGCTGAAAGACTGAAAGAACAAGTGCAAAGGTACGGTATTTTCATTTTGTATTCTTGTCGTATAAGCGTATTGAAGAAGGATTTGTTCAAATACCACTTGTTTTTTGTGGTTTTGCCGCTGAGGACCGGGGGCTTCTGTACTCTTTTTGTCCTGTAGCGGCCATCTTGGTTTTGTTATGTTTTGAGTTGGAAATAAATTATTTAACTTGACAACTTATTATTGGTTATTCAACTGTTCTGGTATCCAGAACAAAGCGTACTTTGCGGAAGACCGACAATTAGACAGACACAAAAAGGAACGATTGGGAGGAAGAAACTAACAGTAAATGAAAGGAATGGGGAGGGGAATTGATTGGTTATTAGAGATGGATGGATGGATTAATATTAAGAACTCAGTCAAAGTTTGAATCAAGCAAACTGCTTAAAGCGCGGGAAAACGTGGATAACCAAAACGTGATTGGTTTTATTTTTGCATCTGATTGGTTGAGGCGGTGCGTGATCTTTCTGGACCAATCAGAGAACGAAGTAAAGCAAAACCAATGCAATCTTCCGTTACATTTGACTCGATTGAAAATTGTTCTTCAATTGGAGATTTTTTTCCCTTTATGTGATAAACCAGACCAAAAGATGACCGCAAACGACAAGAACAGCTTGGCAAAGAACGCGTTCAACAGAGGAAAGGCAGAAAGCTTCCAAGAAACTGGAAAGGAGGGGAATTGGAATTCAGTACACCGGGAGAGGCTGGGCTCGTTGATGTGTTAGAGGACACTGTCAGAGCATTGGAGAGGAAACACGCTATGGAACGAGAACTGCTTATTTACCTGTTACAAGGCAGAGAAAGTGTACAGGCCCGCAGTGCAGCTAAGAAACTATCTCCAGGTCAGTGGTGAAGGACAAATGTCGAGAAGGATAGATTTGTAAATGCAAACAGTTAATGTTGGGAGAACAGGTCGTAATGGGTGAAAAATATAGGACAACCAAGCGGAGTAAACGCCGCGGCATTTATTAAAATTTAAACTTTACGGGTGATCGAGTTTCGACGTTGCGTGGTAAGGCAATGAAAATAGCCTAAAAATTAAAAAGAAGTGAACAGAATTTCTTAAATTTTTTGCCTCTGTCCTGACTTTTTGTAAGAGTATTCATTTCTGGAGCGCTTATATCTTTTTCAATCATTTCGAAGTGGTAGATTCAGGGAGAGATTTTGGGAGGTCGGAACTACCCCTCCCCCTTTCTCATTCCAATAAAACCTGCAGCTTTTTTTTATTACCTGTCTGACGGCGAAATTTTTGCGAGTAGATCGCTTGATCTTGCTTAACTGGTTTATTTGTTTGTGAATAATGGAGAGGAGTTGGGCTTGTGTTGTTTGAGAAATACTTTCGGACTCCCTCATCAAAAATTCCTTGATCGACCTTTGGTATATAATAACTCCTACAATTGCATTATAAATTCAGACGAGCGATCCAATCAGCTGCTGGTTTTGAGAACTCAACAGCAAGGCTGGCGCAAGCAAAGCACCACAGAACGCCTGGTAAGCAAAGAACGCCATTATGTGATCCTGCAAGAAGCAGCGGGGCTAGTGATAGAGGACAGACGAGCTGACCTGAGGGTATATCGTGGTACCTCCCCTGACGACCAGGAGGTAGCAGCAGACATCATGGCTGATCTTCAGCATCATCAGGAAGCGGAGAGTCAGATGCTGTTGACGCTACACGGCAAGGTGAAGAACACTTCATGTATGCCGTCACTATCTATTAAACCCTGTCGAGTTGCGTTTGAAGTGAAGAGCACGTCGTATACACTGTCGCTATGTAACTCTTTTAAAATTAGTGAATTAGCAGCGAGGAACGCGTTATATATTCGGTCGTTACCGAACCCATCAGTACTTCGTTTTAGCTGAAGGACACGTGTACATTATCACTGTTTAACCTTAAGTGTTGTGTTTAAGTGAAGAGCCCGTTCTTCTTAATAACTATATTTGGATCTATCTAACTCTATGTTTTGAGTTCGGGGGAAAGAGCATGTCATGCGTTCTTTCATTATCTAACTCTCAATGTTGAGTTGGAAATGCCATGAGTATTGTGGGTTAGGTAGAGAAAACGTCAGGGTGAATTTACTGTCGCGTGCTCAGTGGGTAATAAGTGTGCTAATTCATAGCATTTACCCCAGAAGGACTAAGAGGAAAGAAAGGACGTTTTCGGGGAAAAGGCATTTTATTTCGCCTGGGGAGAGAAGACGATGGGAGAATTTTGGTCAGATAACGTGGTATTCAGAGGGAACGGAGAGGGAATCATTCATTGCCAACACAGTACAAAAGGGGGACTATTCGTGACGGATACAGACCTCGAACTAAGGTGGAGGTGTTAGGGCGGCGTTAATTTTGTGTTTACACCTGCCGCCTTTTCTTCCTTCTACGTTCATTTTTTTTTAACTAAAATAAGGAGGGGCTGGGCTGGGTCCCCCCTCCCCCCCTATACCCGCCACTGACTATAGAAAATAGACTACCAATTAACTGCGAATAATGAGGATCATAAAAAATATAACAAAGCCGTATGGGGGAATCGTCAGTAAAATGTTATTGTGACAAAACCAAAATTCTCCATCCCCCCAGTCCTCCCTCCCCCCTCAGGCGATTTATAATGAGCGGTTCCTTATGACTCTCGTGAATTAATGGTGGTCTTCATCAGCTGTTTTTTGTTTTTCCGCAGGACATGCAAGAACTATTTCGTCTTCGACAGCTGGAACACCAAGCATGGCAAGAAGAGTTACTCGACGGGATAACATCCGTGCTTCTTGGCATAGAAGAAAATGTCGCTCAAGAGGATGAACTTCTCCAGGCGCTGGAAGAAAAATACGATGCCCTCAGAGACAAGCTGCTTCTTGATGCCTTAGAGAAACAAATGGGTGCGGCCGAATGGGCGCATCTCTCTGAACAGGAGAGACAAGCGCGGCTTGCTAAACTAAAGCTACAGGAGAGGCGTCTGAGGCAGCAAGGGAGGTTTGATGATGCAGCGGCCCTGTTGGGAGAAGGACTTAAGAATGCTGAAACTTTACAGGTATTGTATAAATGATTCTTTGTGATCTAATTGCTCACTAATAGCTTTAACCCTTAAATTCTTAAGACTTGATTGTTAATTCTCCCCTCTGGTTGCTACACATTTCTTTGTAAATCAGTTGTGAGAATTGGGTGTTTGATCAAGAAAAAAAACTTCGCGGAAAACCAAGTCGTGAGTGATTGTAGTGTTGCATCTGATTGGTTGAGAGGGTGGTTGAAGTGTTTTTTATTTTTTTTTGACCAGTCAAACCTCCTAATGAAGCAAAACCGGTGCAATCTCGTATGATTTTCAACACTCACTTAAAATTGTTATCTTGAGGCTTTCTTCTACGTCACTTTAAAGACATTTTTTTTACTCTAAAATTTTTCAAGGCTCTCTTGGGAGAAAACCGGCAGCGTTATTTGGAGCGACTCAAGGAACGCTTAGAGAGGCGCCAGAAACGACTTGAAGAAGGGTTGGATCCTGACGAAGAAGATGAGGAGACCTTGCGACTTTTAAATGAAGAAGAAGCCGCCAGTACCGGCAACATCCTGAAAGACCTGCAAAACCGGTTTGACGAGGAGAAAGATGCATTATTACGAAGACTACAGGTAAAGGACATGTTTTCCTTCAAATTAAACTTCAGTTTGTACGTAACACATAACTGAACAACGAATGTTGTGTACCAGTATTCTTGTTTGGTCGCATTAATGGGGCGCGGAATTCGCGCGGAGGTTAGGAATGAGTGAGCGAGCAAGAAATCCCCCTTGAGCAAGTACCAACATCTCGTGTGGGCTCACGAAGCGCCAAGGAGACGGATATTAGTATAAGATATCGGAGGCTTAAGGTATTATTGAAATTACATTGGTAAAAAAACACAAGTCCACTCCTGGGGACCCGGCGTAAGTTTGAGATATCTAGGGTTAAATTAATAACAGTGACAGTTTGAAACAGGTCCACACCCTGGGACCCGGCCTAACTTTGAGGTATCTAAGGTAAAATTAAGATGCACCGACACAAGTCCACACCCAGGGACCCGACGTAAGTTTGAGATATCCAGGGTTAAATTCAGGTGATAAATTGAAACAAGTCCACACCCGGGGACCCGGCCTAACTTTGAGGTATCTAAGGTAAAATTGAGTGATGCACCGACACGAGTCCACACCCGGGGACCCGACGTAAGCTTGAGATATCCAGGGTTAAATTAAAGCGATAAATTGAAACAAGTCCACACCCGGGGGACCTAGCGAAAGTTTGAGATATTTAGGGTTAAATTAAGTTGTACACCGACAAAAGTCCTTACCCGGCGACCTGGTCTTAGTTTGAGATATATAGGGTAAAATTAAGTGATACATCGACACAAGTTCTTTCCCGGTGTTCGGGCCTAAGTCAGAGATATCTTGGGTAAAATTACAGTGATCCACCGACACAAATCCACTCCCGGGCACCTGGGTCAAGGAACTACATTATACCTAAGTTTCGATTGAATAGTATTCTACTCTGTCTCATTTGTTTTTAGGAGGAGCACGACCGGTTAGCAGCAGAAAAGCGTCGTCAGGCTGAACTTGCACGGCTCAGACGCGAAAAAAGACAAGCTGAACGAGAGTCGCGGTTTGATGAGGCTGCGCTGGTGCTGGGACTGGCGGAAAGAAACAGAAAGAACCTTGAAGAAAGGTGAGACAGAAACGTGACCTGTTCTTAGTTTCTTGAGAACTGATGGATCCTTTTTCAACCAGTCAGAATTATTCTAGGGGTTCATTAAATATCTTGAGCTCATTTTTCTTCTCTGCTTATTAGACTACGCCGTGATCGGGAGCGTCAAGAACAGCTGGCAAGGGAACGATTGGCGAGGAGAAAGAGACGAGGAAAACCCGAAGAGCAGGAAGAGGACGATGAACCAGATCCTGATAAAGGTTATATATAGACGACAAGTCGTCCCTCCTTTTCGGCTTTGTCCGTCGCGCGTGTGTAGAAAAAACAACGCATGGAAAATTGGTGCGAGCTGGCCGCGCGGATTTTTTTAGTGGGAGCTTACTTTTTGTGCGCCTTTCTCCCTTCGTTTAGCGCCTTAGCATCGATTATTTTGTTCACTTCGCCGAAAAGCAGGGACTGCTTGTAGTCTAACGGTTGTAGTACTGTTTGTTTTGTCTTTGAGTCCCAGCTGCACTCGACTGTATTTCCACTTAAATTTACTGAATTCGTTTCTCGTAAAATAGCGTGAACCTTGCTGCTTAAGCTTCGCGTGAGCTGACGTCATGGTGCATTTGAAGGCGCCCTTGTAGGACTTACAAGGAATAGTTTTGGTGCCCGGCAATTAACTACTACTCTGTTAGAGAAAAAGTGAAGAAAATCTCATCTTCACGGCAAACGCGGAACAGGTCACTTTCGCGTAGAAACGGCAAAGCGCAGCTGGCAAACTGGCAAAAATGGCGGGAAAAACAAGGTCACGTGGTCACTCGTACCGTTCGCGTTTCACGTAAACGCGGTGTTAAATCTCTCTAATGAGAGCCTTGCACGCTACAGAAAAACTGGGGTTCAAACCCTTTCTCATGTTTTTTCGTTACCCCATGCTGCTAACAACGGAGTGGAAGATTGTTCTTCAAGATCGTCAATTTCTTTTTCATCCATAGATGACTTACAAGGCTGGCAGGACGCTGTGTTGAAGTCACTGGAAAGAAAACACCGTGCGGAGCAAGAGTTCTTAATGGGATTGCTTCAAGATGAGAGCAGCGAGAGCATGCGCGAAGAAGCCAGAACTGTTAATGAAGACGACAGACTTAAAAGACTCAGTGAGCTGAAAGGCAAGAGAGAAGAGCTTGACCTGGGTGTTAAAGGTTAGTTCATGGTGGTATTTCAAACTTAAGTTTAACACTTTAACTTCCAGAAGTGATTAACTTGTAACTTCTCCCTATAATATCCATACCAGTGGCGGATCCAGGGGGAGGGTCCCGGGGGTCTGGACCCCCCTCCCCCTCTTATCAGACCTGACGCTTACAACTTTGAGACTGAAATTCTTACATCGACAAGATCGTATGTAACACTTTTTAAATGGCTGGTTTTTTTTTAATGAATCCAAGTAAACGGTAAGCGGCCAAGGAATATAACGTGCAACCGCGACTGGTGGGAGGGGGTGTGGGGGAGAAGTAATTTACCTCGGTCCAACAGTCCTTTCTGAACCAAAGTTTGGACCCCCCCAGTCAAAAATTGCTGGATCCACCCCTGCATACATTATTCAACAATCAGGTAATGAGAATACTCAAACTTAATCAGTTAGAGGTTGCAATCTTGATCTAACACCAAATTCTCGTAACCAATTTACAAGGAAATGTCAGGCAGCTGGAGGGGTAAAAATCAGATCTTGGGAGTTAAACGGTTGGTTTAGGTGGATTTTTTTTTTTTTTAAGATTTTGTTGTTTCTCATCAGCTGACCGACTTCTCCATGTCGATATTCTGGACATGGCCGCTGCTTACAAGTTTGAAGTTCAGCGATATAGACTGAGTGGCAAGAACGAAGGTGAAGTGAACGATGAAGAAGTTACTGTCTCTATGATGGCTGATTTACAAGAAGAACAAGACTAGGAGAGTGAAAGAGTCATGGCAAATCTTCAGGAAAAGGTAAGAAGGACAAAAGGAAAAATCTTTTACTTTTACCTTACATGCTACTGTTAACTTTCTTACACTGGAAAAGCCTTGAAAAGCCTTCAACTCTGGTAAAAAAACTCAGTGTTCAAAAGGACCAAGTCCCTTTCCCATGTCCCTTTTTTGGTATGTGCGGGGGGTTTCATCAAAGCGAGGAGGGGGAAAGGGGAGTCCCGACAGCAGTAAATTAATTTAGGGGTAATCAAACCCAAGGCTACAACGATTTGGGGGGGGGGGTGGAGGGAGGTGAGCGTTCTCAGCCCCGCGCCATCCTTGTGTCTTCCCCTCTCCTCCCCCGTAAAAAAGAGAAAAGGTCTCCGAATTATTTTCACCGGAAACTTATTTAATGACTGTTTTTGTTCTTCATCAGACTCAAGCAGAGCTGTCCGCCTTAAAGGACGAACATGAACAAGAACGGAAAGACGAAGTTGTGGAGAATGTGGCCACAGTTTTGTTAGAGTATGATGGAACTGGATCAGACAAGGATTTGATCTCAGCTCTGGATCAGAAATATGACACACTTAAGGACAAACTCTTATTGGAAGCTCTCAAGAAGCAGTTAGGTAAGGCGTCTAATGATTTAAATCTTGTTCCTCTTTAAGTCCTCTAATTTTACTGAAAGTGACCGAGAGAATTGGCGACGAAAACTTTAGTACACTAATGCGAGTTTAATGACTCTTTTATTGTCCTTCAACCCTGGAGTTACAGGCGATCGTGAATCTTCTTTGTTAAGTTAGCTGATTTAGAATACGACATACCTTTGAAGGATTTGTCCGTGGTACGTGTGTGCTGTCGGTTGAAATAATGCGATACAAGAATCCCTTTCTCTATAGTTGTAAAATGAAAGGGAAAGATCCGACAAACGAACCCCTAAACTAATAAACCAATTTAACCCGTCTCCTGCGGCAAATGTAGCTTCTTTCCGGCTGAGGAGAGAGGCGTGACATCCGGAATTACGTCCGGGTTTGCAGGCTGGTCTCTTAGTAGGTGGGAGGAGACTACCCTGTAATATCTTCATTTTACTGTAATATATTTGGGACAATAGAGCCTTAACCCATAAGAGTAATCACACCAGTCAATGAGAATGGAGGAGAAGACTAAACGGAACCAATGAGAACTCAAACAAGAATATATTTGTAAATGATAGGTCTTAGAGCGCGGGAAAACGTGACTGACCAAGTCCCTATTGGCCTCAAGTTTGCATCTGATTGGTGGTCGGAGAAGGTGACGCGAGTTTCCTTCGGCCAATCACACAGCAGGCTTCACGGCGCACTACTTCAATCCTGGATTATTCTCGACACTGAATTGAACGAAACCTCATTGCTTTTCGTACCGCTTTTTTTTTTTTAGGTGACGCCGAGTGGGCGCAGTTGTCTGAACAGGAGCGGCAGAAGAGACTTGTGAAGCTTAAACTAGAGGAACGACGACTGCGGAAAGAAGGACAACTGGATGAACTGCACCGACTGCTGGGAGAAGGATTTGAAATGGACGCCAATCTGAGAAAATTGATGGGTGAAAATAGAGCCAGGTGGGTTTAATGTTATTGTCAGTTATAGTAAGCTATAAGCATTGAGCTTCATTTTCGGGGGGCGGAGAAGAGAGCTCAGAGATCATTTTTTTAATCACTTGATAAGATTTTAAGAATAACCTTCAACGTCAAGGAAACAAGAAAGTATTAGTTTGGTAATGATATTGGATGGCTAAATCACAAACATTGGCGAAAACAAGAAAAAATTGAAGGAACAAGATGTCCATGAAGCCTCCTGCGATCGGAATTAACGGTCAGCCGGTCACGACCAGAATGTTTAACGGTCAACTCTTGGCAAAATTAAGAGGCTGGACGGATTAAAGCTGTGTGCTTTAAAGAACATTCAATTGGGTGAGTCAGATGTGTAATACGAGAAAGAAAGCAGCGGGAGGTGTATAGAGAGGGTCCGGAATTCTAGATCCTCCGAAACCCTCCTTATCGTACCCATGGGTTTCGCACTACTTTTCTTACACCAATACTCTTGCAACGACAAGACCGTATATTACAACTCAAGTGGCTGATGTTTTTTTTTTCGTGTAACCACAAGTGAAGGGGGAAGGGAGGGAGGGGTGCACAATGTGGCAGGGAGGGGGGGTTGGTCGAAAAGTAATTTTGGCACCCTTCCCCCCTTCAAAAATTCCTGGGTTCAGCCCTGGGAAAGATAAGAGGGAAACCTCACCGACACAGAAAGACAGGGGAACCTTGTTTGCTTTCAGTGCAGTACGTTGAACATAGGGTTTTTGACGGCAAACGTGTGATTTATAAAGGCAACCTAACTCAGGGTTCGGTTGCCGAGCTTTTAAAATAGGGACAACTTGGCCATTTTTTTTTAATTTGTAACTCCTTCTCCTATTTTTTAAAACTCTTCCTTTGACAGATACGAAGAAAAACTTAAGGAACGATTAGCGAGACGTAGAGAGCGATTGGCTCAGGGACTGACGCCCGATGACGAAGATGAGGAGGACTTAGAAGATGGTCAAGCGGAAGGAGAGCAAGTAACGGATGTCAAAGCTATACTGGAAGACCTGGACAAAAGGTACTGTGTGGACCACTCTTTCCAGCTTGTACTGAGTGGCTCAAAATTTTTCTTCAGAGTTAGTCGAAAATGAAAATGAGACTCACGTAGTCTGGTTTGCTTCATGTTTTTTTTTTTTAGAAAATATGTATCGAGAAGAAAAGTAGTGGTTTGCCTGTTTCTAGTGGAATTGAACAAGTGCATACGGTTCATGGAGACCTCAAAATCTCTTCTGAAAACATTGATATAAAATTCCTTGTTGCTTAAAGCGGAGTGTTGCCCCAAGAATTAACCTCGAGTTCTTGTTGGTGTGTCATACTTGGAGTGTCGAAAGCTTGGGTTTAGAATAGCCTTTCCCACTCGAAATGTTCAGATATTATCTTCTCCTAAGTTATTCATGGAATTTGTCGCCTTTTGCAGTTGTTCAGTTAGTCAAACGGGCGGAATTACTAAAAAGTACAATAGAAATGGCAGAGCGAAAGCGAAGGAGGTCTGGGTCAGGCGCGTAGATTATTACGTAACCCCACCCAAACTTCCTTCCGCTACCATGAAACGATGGGGTTTGGGCGGGTGCCTAATTCATTACGTGACCCGAACCAAACTTCCCTCTGCTACCATGGAACGAAGGAGGTTTGGGTCGGGTGCGTGGTTCATTACGCAACCCAACCCAAACCTCCTTCCGCTACTATGGAACGAAGGAGGTTTGGGTCGGGTGCGTAGTTCATTCGTTCAGGAACAGGCTATGGCATTTGATGCAGAGAGGTAAAGAGAATATACTTACTTGTTACTGCCTTCTTTAGATATGAGGAAGAGAAGGAAGCGCTGATGCGCAGCTTACAAGGACAGGACGAACGCTTCATGAGCGAGCGACAGAGACAGGCTGAACTGGCTCGTCTCAAACGAGAGAAGTTGAAAGCGAAACAGGAAGACAAGTTTACCACGGCCGCGTTGGTACTGGGACTGGCCGAAAAACAGAAAGCTGCAGTGGAAGAAAGGTTAAGGACCAGTCACTTCTTATGAGGGGGGGGAGGGGGGTGAGGATGTTGAAGGGCCATCATCACATGGTTTTTAGGGGGAACGGAGATGAGTCCATAGAACTGTTGAAAATTGACTGTTAACAAGGGGGGAATGTTACTGATGTTAGAATGTAAAGAGTTAAAAGCTTGTTTTTGTTGTTGTTTCAAGGCTTCGTCAAGACCGTTTGCGGCAGGAACAACTGGCGCGAGAACGACTGGAACAATTGCGCAACCGCAAAAGGGCCAAAGAGCAAGAGGCCGAGGAGAAACTGGTGACTGACGGGGAAATCAGCGTCTTACAAGAGGCCGTGATGAAGGCGCTGGAGCGGAAACATCAAGATGAACGGCAGGTGAGTATCAGATATGTAGATAGAGATACAGAAATTTAAACGAGATATGTGGAATTTCCACTCGTAACAAAAATTGCTTTTCCGCAATTCTCCTTCAGAACACGTTTTGTGTTACTGTTCCAAAACTAAACGAAATCATTTGTGGCAACAGCCATCAGAACAAAAGGACATAACAGTAGGAGTTGATGAGAACTAAATCCAGACAGTTGTAAATTTTGTAAAGGGTGGGAAAACGAGAATGATCAAGTTCTCCATCTGATTGGTGGAGAGTGTGGCGCGAGTTTTCTGGACCAATCACAAATCGAATCGACACAAAATCGATGCATCCATCGTCCCTGATCAAGGATTTTGTTTGGCTCTGACCGCTTTCGGAACTTCGTGGGCTCGACGCCTTTAAGGGTCTCTGAGTTTTAAATTTTGTTTTTGTTATTTTCGACTCTTCATGCACTTAACAGCTTCGGTAGAAAGATGTGGATTTTTTAGCGCAATTCTCAATTGAGGAAGTAGGCAAGATATATGAAAAACAGAGGATAATTTCTGATTTGATCATGGGTATTTTCCAGGCCTTACTAGACGTGTTGCAACAAGAAATGCCGGAACTAGCCGAGGCCGCAGCAACGATGACTCAACAACAACGAGAGAATTGGCTCCAGCAGATCAGCATGAAAATGAATGCTCTTGATCCAGGTATAAAAATACTTGAAAAAACGTGCGATCATGAAAATGCGAGCAATCTCTGCTTTTTTGCTCAGATGACCACTTTTACGTGAGCGAGTTGTCAGAGTGAAGTTTTCCTTCTTCATTTTGTTCCTTCCACAGCCGATAAAGAAGCCCGTCATAATTTACTCGTTGAAGCTGCCGTATTCAAGGTTGTCAACCGACAGAAGTATCTGGAACTGTCACAAGAAGAAACCGTGAAGAAAGATGATGTTATTGTTTCGCTGTTGGCAGATTTGCAGCAGGAACAGGATCAAGAAAGCGAAAAACTTGTTAATGAAATGCAGGACAAGGTATTTGACGTCTGTTTGATGGTCTAAATAAATCAGTTGCGTGCTTCGTAAAACCATGACGTAGTTATCACAACAACCAATCAGAAAAAAGAAAATGTTACCAGGAGCCAATGAGAACTGAAAGAAGAAGCAAGCGCGGGAAAACGCGGGTGATCAAGACGCGATATACTTAATTTTTGTTCCTGATTTGTCGTGAGGGTGGCGCAAAGTCTTAAAACCAATCAAAAACGCGGGTAATCGATCTCCAAGCGCGGGAAAATCGCAAATGACCAAGTCGAAATTGGTTTTAGTTTTGCATCTGATTGGGTGCAAGAGCAGCTCGAGTTTTTCTTTGGACCAATCCAGGGGAGAAACGAAGCAAAACCAATGGGATCTCGGACTTCTTTCGACTGTCATATGAAGAAAAAAAGCATACCGTCGCAAGATTACTTTGTTGACGTTTTTTGTGCTTATCTTATTCGTTAGAACATCCAAATTGGATTGCTTACTTGAAAGTATGGAACTGACTCTTACGAATTTTGTTACATCCACATTAGAATCTGTAATATCTCTCTGTAAAGTGCCAAGATGGCGCTTCTTATCTTCCCAAGTTGTCCCGCTCAAAATATTTGGGTGTATTTTCTTAGCCGTAAACTTTTACCCGATTCTATTTGTATTGTATTTTTGGTACAGGATAAAACAGAGCTAGTACAACTGCAAGAGAACCTCCTCCAAGCGCGCAAAGACGCTTCCCAACAGAATGTCATCGCAGTTGTCACGGAAGCTGAAATCTGGGGCACGGCTAATGAGCGTGACCTGTCACAAGCCCTGAACTATAAGTATGACGCACTGAAGGACAGGCTGTTGCGTGACGCTCTTGTGCAACAGGTTGGTGTGAATGAGTGGCAGGCCCTTTCTGAAAATGATCGTTTATCCAGACTGGCGCAGATGAAACTAAAAGTACAGGCGTTAAAAAGTGAAGGTAAACCATTTATTTTTCTTCCTTGTGATCATCAATTGATTAAAAGTTGTCATGAGAAGCGGACTAAACGCGTGCAATTACACCATCTCTCTTTCAGTAAATCACCTACGGACTTTGTTTTACAATAGTATGAAATCTGTCCCACTCTCTAATGCAGTCATTTTCAATTTGGTGACGGAATTAATGTTTATTAGGATGTTCAATCAATGGCTTGATTCAGTCGTAACTAATATTCCGTGCCAATTCTGTAATCATGTAAGGATTTAATTACTTTACGCTTGAAACTTTGTTAAAGATGCTTCTTAAGTTACCAAAAATACTTGTAGCTTCAGTTGCTTACTACTTCTTCCTGAGAACTTGTGTTTGTGACCTGATTCACTGCAGGAAAACAAGACGAGATCAAACAACTTTTAGGCGAAGCAGCAGCCATAAATCTCATTTCACTAATGGGTGAGGACAGTACGCAGCACAAGCAACGACAGATTGAACGACAACAAAAAAGGGAGCAAAGAAAACCTCAAGGAATGTCGGACGAGGAAATTCTCAAACTCGAGGTTGAAGAAGACGCCAAAGCTGACGAAGAGGCGCTTAAAAAATCCACTGGGAATACAGTTCAGGATCTTGAGGTAAATAACTCCGGTCATCAGAAGTTTTTGGACCAAATTTGTACCTGACAATAACGCCGAAGGAATGTAATAAGTAATGCAACAAAGATAATTTAGTTTTATCAAATGGATCGATAATGTAAACTGGCTACCGCAAAGAGTTTCTTTAGCTGACGTTTCGAACGTTAGTCTTAGTTACAGCGAATGGCAAAGGGCTAGCGCTCAGAACTTCAGCTCCTTACGGTGGCCAATCGACCTAATCAACTCAGTTGATTAAACAAATTATCTTGTAATACCCCCATCGACGAAACACCACAATTTCTATGGATACTTACCCCTTTATTTATTTGGTGTATAACGTACATCACTTTCACCTTCTCAATCTATTAGTTGTGGTGGTTGGGCGGACGTTTCTTAGAATATTTTATATTCTCAGAATGGCATTTCGTTTTATATTTTGCTTTAGAATCGTCTCAATAATGAAACAGAGAGCCTGTTAGCTGACGTTCGCGGGGCCGACGCCAAATTTGAAAGCGAGCAACACCGACATGCGCAGTTGGCGCGAATCCGTTATGAGGAGAGGCAGGCTTTACAAGAGAGCTCGTTCCAACCTTCCGCTCTGGTGCTTGGACTTGTGCAAGCTCGTCAAATTAACATGGACAACAGGTAAAGAGTGACTAACATCTCATTTCTCCTTACAATATAACTGGTAAATCAAACGGTTAAGTTTTGAGAATAACTGAAATGATCACCAGTTTAAGAGGTTGCAGCCAGACTATTTTCGAGGTGTTTTCGATTCACGCAATTTTTTAACACATCCCTGGCTCATGAGTGGTTTTACCACTAGGCAAAGGGCCATTTTCGATATATCAAAATTCGAACATGGCTTCAAGGCTAGGGAGAATAAAGCAAAATAAATTTTTGTTCATCCCTTGATGTGATTTCTTTGTTTTATTCTCCAAGCCTCGGAGCCTTAAATTTTTAATACATCAAAAATGGCTTATTCCAAAACTTTTTGAAGGCTAATATCTCAATAATTATTTCTGTCAAAGAAGCAAACATTTCACGCTGGGTGTACTTTCCACAGGGATCAGCGATGCCCCTTTCTCCCGTTGACTAGCACCTTAAGATTCCTTAAAAATGGTTGTAGCGCGAGGGTTTGATCATAAGTGCGACCTGTGACGATGTTTTATACAAAGCACCATTTTGAAATTCTGAAAATCTACCACGGTTTAGTATTCTTGCTTCACGTGACACGAATCGCGAGGTAACTAGGGGACCGCTTATTGTTTATCACTTTGTGGGGGGGGAGGGGGGAGAGTTGTGTCACAATAAAATTTACCCGATCCCCTCCTGGGGACCTGCATGATTTCCCTCACTTCCAGTCAATTTTGTATAGCTTTAAATGTACTTTCAACAATCAAGATTGTTAGTTATCTGGTGTTGTCACAGATACTAATTTATCCCCCCCCCCCTCAAAAAAAAAGTTTCTCTAGAAAAAATCTACAGATCTACATAATTATGCTCCTATGCATATGCCAATTAAAATGATGAGAGGAAAGACTTTCTAAAGATACCCATGACAACTTCCTCCTCTGTAAAGGGCTCACACAAAAAGTAAAAGTATAATTGTGTGGCACTTTACCTTCCAAATTAAGCTTGGTAATCTGAACACACTAACACCTAATCAACTAAATGGTCAGATAAGCCCACCCTGTTTGAAATAAGAAATGCAATATAAAATTATTGTATTCTGCCAGTTCTATACTGAGCAGAATTCCTTCAATGAATTCCATGTGAAAGCATTTTACATGAGTTAAGGAGACCTTTATGGACAACACCTGTCACTTTCTTAAACTGAGCAGTCTGGTATGTCCCCAAGATAGGCTATCTTCATCCATCTAATCCATGTGTTATAATTGGTTCAAATGTTTTCTCTCAATAAAAATTTTTCAAAGTTAAACCAATTATTTCTTTCCCTTCTTGGTAGATTATGGTAATTAATGATAAAAAGTAAACACTGAACTTGTTGGAAAAATTT